TGCCAAGGCCTGCCTGAAGGTGGCAGAAGCATGGGTGGACAGACAGCCCAGGGCCAGGAGGAGGACACAACCTTCGTGAGCTCGGATTCCAGCCTCCTAGAAGCTGTGGCTGCCAGTGACCACTTGGGATCCAGCCTGGACTCTGTGGGGAGAAAGGTGATCAGGGAGGGTGAGGCCATGCTTAGCAGAAACCTTGTGAGTTGCCGCTGAGGGCTGGGAGACAGACGGGTGTTAATGCAACCGACCGAGACATGGGCCAGTGGTCAGCACAGGGCTGTGCAATGTGGGGCTTGACTCTCCCTGTGTCTGTTGGGGTTTATCTCCGGGAGGTCTGTAGAAATTACTAGTTTCTGGGAGCTGTGTTTGGCCGTGAACTCAGGGTGCAGAGAATGAGATTCAAATGCATATAGCCTGTCCCCGTGAGCTGGGTTCCTTAGGAATGTCCCTGGATTCCAGGATCCCCATTCATACCATACTACTCTGGCCACATAATCCTGGCTCACTCCAATTGTGTGTGTGTGTGTGTGTGTGTGTGTGTGTGTGTGTGTGTGTGCGCGCGCGCGTGTGCGTGCATGCTTGTCTACGTGGAGGTCACAGGTCAATACTGCGTGTCCTTTAGTGCAATAGTTTTCAGCCTTCCTAATGCTGGAACCCCTCATGCTGTGTTGACCCCCAACCATACAATTATTCTCCTTACTACTTTATGCTTTGTATTTGCCACTTCATACTGTAATGTTGCCATTGTTATGAATTACAATGTTAAATCTGATATGCAGATGGTTTTAGGTGACCCCCGTGAAAGGGTTGTTAAACCCCCAAACGAGTCATGACCCACACGTTGAGAACCCCTGCTCTATTGCTTTACATCTTTTCTCATTTATTTTTTCTTTTTTTTTTTAAAGATTTATTTATTTATTATGTATACAACATTCTGCCTTGATATATGCCCGCACACCAGAGGAGGGCGCCAGATCTCATTACAGATGGTTGTGAGCCACCATGTGGTTGCTGGGAATTGAACTCAGGACCTCTGGAAGAGCAGCCAGTGCTCTTAACCTCTGAGCCATCTCTCCAGCCCTTATTTTTTCTTTTTAAAATTTGTTTTATGCATACAAGCAGGTTGGCTGCATGTACGTATATGTACTGTGTGCACATCTGCTGTCTACAGAGACCAAAAGAGGGTTCCAGATCCTCTAGAACGGTAGTTAAGTGTGTTTGTAAACTACGATGTGGATGCTGAGAACCAACCTCAGCGCTCTGCAAGAACAGCGAGTACTCTCCACCGCCGAGGCATCTCCAGCCCCTGCACCTTATTCTCTGAGACGAGGTTACTCATCAGATCTGGAGCTCACCAACCGGGCTAGGCTGACTGACCAGAATGCTCCAGGGATCCTATTGTCTCTGTAACCCCAGATTATATGTGGGTGCTGGGGATCCACACTCAGGTCCTCATGGTCACGTGGCAGGAACTTTACCCAGTGAGTTGTCCTTTCAGCCCCTCTTTCCGGGTTTTTGTCTCTCCTCCTCCTTCGTGGTTGTTGTTGTCTTACTGTGCAGTTCTGGCTAAACTCTAATACAAGACCCTCTTGCTTCAGACTTCCCAATGCTGGAATTACAGGGTTTTTGTTGTTGTTGTTGTTGTTTTTGTTTTGTTTTTGAGACAGGGTTTCTCTCTCTCTCTGTTTAACAACGCCTAGCTGTCCTGGTACTAGCTCTTGTAGACAAGGCTAGTCTTGAACTTACAGAGATCCGCCTGCCTCTGCCTCTCAAGTGCTGGAATTAAAGGCCATAAATACATAGCCGAACATGCCTTCCACTCATCTGTGCAAAGGCCTTCTAGCCATTCCTCTGCCATTCCTTTGCCTCATTTTTAAAATTTGTTTTTAAAGTTAACATAAAGAGGAATGAGTTTCATTGTGGCATTTTTGTTAATTCTCTCTTTCTCTCTTTACTAGAAACTGAATTCAGGGTTTCACACATGCTAGGTAGACCCTCTACAGATGAGCCATGCTTCCAGTCCCTCACTGGGGGATTCCAGGCAGGTGCTGTACCACTGAGTTACACCCCAGCCGCTCACTGGGGGATTCCAGGCAGGTGCTCTACCACTGAGTCACACCCCAGTCTCTCATTGAGGATTCTAGGCAAGTGCTCTACTGGAGTAATATGCCCTGCTTTCTTTTGATTTCTTCTTCTTTGAGATAAGATCTTACTAAATTGTCCAGGCTAGCCTTGAACTTGAGCATCTCCTGCCTTTGTATCCCAAGTGACTATGTTAGACATCCTCTTGAACTTCTAAGCTAACATCTGAGACTGGTCAACCTTATTTCCTAAGTGCCCCAGGGTCTCCCTTCCTTCTTTCTTTCATTCCTTCCCTCCCTCCTCCCTCTTCCCTCCCTTCCTCCCTCCCTCCTTCCCTCCCTCCCTCCCTCCCTCCCTCCTTTTTTCCTTCCTTCCTTTGTTTTTGTTTTTCGAGACAGGGTTTCTCTGTAGCATTGGCGCCTGTCCTAGAACTAGCTCTTGTAGGCCAGGTTGGCCTCAAACTCACAGAGATCTGCCTGCCTCTGCCTCCCGAGTGCTGGGATTAAAGGCGTGCGCCACCACCGTCCGGCTCCCAGGGTCTTTCTTTTGCCTCTTCTGTCAGCAATCTCATTCCTTCCCCTTACTGCCACGCCTGTCACAGCCTCCTCCCCACCATCTACCTGTAACCCTCTGGTCTTGCCCAGCTAGGGCCATGTGTGTGCCCACTTTGGGCCCAGCAGAGGGTTTGGAAAGCAGAGGCGAATCAACCAGGCACTCTCTTGTCAGTTGATGTCTTGTTCTAGCTCCACTGATGCAGAGGGTGTGGGTGGCATTTTCTCAGTAATCAATAGGACACCAAGCAAACATTGTTCTAAGAAGAAGGAGGCCTGGCAGTGCGGGTACATCCTGGCCACTTGGGAGGCTGAAGGTAGAAGGATTGCATGTTCAAAGTCAGCCTGGGCTACAGAGTGCCAATGCCAACTTGAGCAATTTAGCCAGACTGTCTCAAAACAAAAATAAACAAGGGATTGGGGATGTAGCTTAGCTCATCTCGCATGCGCTAAGCTCCCTGCTACACTTTCTAGCTCTGGGTAAAAGTAAATTGATGAAAAGGATCAGGAAACTGTGGACTCCCAAGATGGGAAAGCCGCGGGATGGAGGAAAGGACTTCTTATCAACGTGGGGACCATCTGCTCACATCGCATCTATGGTCAGCCAAGAAGCAGAGAGATGCCAGCCTTAGAGGTGCACACCTTTATTCCCAGCTCTTGAGAAGCAGAGGCAGGGGATCTTCGTGAGTTTGAGGCCAGCCTGGTCTACAAAGTGAGTTCTAGGACAACCAGGAATGTTACATAGAAAAATCCTGTCTTGAAAAAAAAAAAAAAGATGGGAAAGCCATGGGAGGATGAGAGGCCTTCCCAAACTTGGGGTCCATCTGGTCATAGTCGGTCAGGAAACAAAGCAATGCTAGGCAGTGGAGGTACACACCTTTCATTCCAGCATTTGGGAGGCAGAGGCAGTTGGATCTCTGAGTTCAAGGCTAGCCTGGTCTACATAGAGAAAAAAACAAACCAAAAACAACAAAAAGAAGCTGAGAGACAAGGATGCTGGCAGTAAGCTCACACTCTCTATCCCCCAGACCTGGGAAAGGTGCAGCCCACACTTAGGGCGGTCCTTCCCACCTCAGCTTCAGCTTGACCAATGTAACTTCTCACAGCCAAGCTCAGAGGTTGTGTCTTTGGTGAATCTAGATGCAGCTGAGTTGAAAATCTGTAGGGATCATAAACATCAAATACCATCTTTTCCCCCAGCAGCTCCCTCGGGGGTGTTCAAAATTTCCACAGACTGGATTCCCGTGTCTTCCAAACAAGGTCCCATAAAGCAGAAAGCTGACTTTTGGGGCTGGGGAGCTGGCTCAACAGGCAAAGAGGATTGCCAGCCACCAAACCCTGAGTTTTGGCTCCAGTTGTACATGGTGTAAGGACAAACCAACTTCTGCAAGTTGTCCTCTGACCTCCACGCACATGATAAATACAGAAAGGTAGGAGACTGGAGAGATGGCTCAGCGGTTAAGAGTGCTTGCTTCTGGTGCAGAGGATTGGAGTTCGATTCCCAGGACCCACTTCATTTGGGTCACAGCCTCCAGTAACTCCAGCTCCAGGGGACCTGCACTTCGGACTTCAGGCATCTGCACTGCACGTTTCCCTACACGGGCGCACACACACACACACACACACACACACACGATTAAAATTGAGTAAATGTTTTTCTTTTTTTTTATTTATTTATTTTATTATGTATACAACACTCTGCCTCGATGTATGTCTGCATGCCAAAGGAGGGCGCCAGATCTCAGTACCGATGGTTGTGAGCCACCATGTGGTTGCTGGGAATTGAACTCAGGACCTCTGGAAGAGCAGCCAGTGCTCTTAACCTCTGAGCCATCTCACCAGCCCGAATAAATGTTTTAAAATATTAAAATGGAGTATAATAATAATAATAATAAAAAGAAAGCTGGAGTTTGAAGATGTGAGGATGGACTTGGGGTGAAGAACCTGGACATGCTGGAGTGTCCCCATCTTGGGGTGTGGCGGGGAAGGGAGGGAGACAGGACAGGAAGATGATTCCTAGAGACAGAGTCCTGGGTGGGAAGGAGGATTCAGGATTGGCAGGCTTCTCAGAGGTGCACAGGGGTAAGAGTCAGCAACAAGTAGACTGAGGGTGGGTGGGTGCTACCTGGTCCGGTCCCCAAGCGTCCCCTGTGGCGGGCCTAGCTGACAACCGCCGGCAGAGGCGGTTCAATCTAGTCCAAGCTGTCTTCTGCTGGCTGGAAAAGAGCTGGGGTGGAGGGGACACCGGGAGACGCTAACAGGAGAGAGGGGACCTCCCAGCCAAGCGATTGGCAGCGTGCTCCTGAGTCGTCCCCCACCCCACCCCGCTCCCCATATCCCGCCCCCGCCCCGCCCCCGCCACCATCTGCTCGGGATTTGCTATCCCGAGACTCCAGGCTAGGGGCTCCGGAGGCAGCCGATCCGGTCTGCTAAGGGCCCTGGTGCTGCCGGAGGATCCGACGCCCTTCCAACCTGCTGCGCCTCCTGTAGCGGCTGCCTGCGTTCCCGCGTTCCAGCCCCGGGTCGGGTGCTGATGGAACCGCGGTGATGTTCACTCTGGCCAGGCTGCTGGATTTCCAGAAAACCAAATACGCAAGGTGAGCAGCGGAGCTGGGGGCGGGGGTGGGATGGGGTAGACAAGGGTCAGGGCTCTGAGGCCCCTTTTTCCTGTCCCCACTGCTTGGGGAACTGAGCTTAATGCCCGGGGCTAGAACAACCTAGGAACCAGGCAGTATCGTCTTCATAATGGAGTGGAAATTGTTATCCCGCTTTTGCGCGCGGCGCCCCGGCTTCTCCGCGTTTCCTTTCTCCCTTAGGCGAGGCGCTTCATCGGTCCAGAGCAGTTTCCACATTTGCGACCCGGTGAACAACTAGAGTCCCCACCATTAGGGACCACGGGAGGTTAATAGGAGATGATCCTTAGAAAGCACTTTACGATGCCAGCAGGGCGGGGGAACTGCTCCATCCCTACGGGGCTCCGTGGGTAACATTTAAAAAGGGTTTTGCACGCACCTAGTGTCTACTCTCAAGGCAAGGCAGAGGAATAGATAGGTCCCCTTTGGAGGCGGAGAAACTGAGGGTCAGAATTCAGGAGGAGATGGTTATCCCAATCTCTGGGGTCCAAGTTGAGCCCTGGTTTCTTTTTCTGTTTTGTTTTGTTTTGTTTTGTTTGTGACAAGTCTTACTATGGTAGCCCTGGCTGGCCTGGAGTCCTCTTTGTAGACCAGGCTGCCCTTTGACCTCGCAGAGATCTGTCAGGCTCTGAAGTGCTGGTCATTCCTTATCGTTTTTTGTTTTGTTTTTCGAGACAGGGTTTCTCTGTGTTGCTTTGGAACCAGTTCTAGAACTAACTCTTGTAGACCAGGCTGGCCTCGAACTCACAGAGATCCGATTGCTCCTGCCTCCTGAGTGCTGAGATTAAAGATGTGCGCCACCACTGCCTGACTCATTATCGTTTTTTTGAGACAGTCTTGCTACGTACACCAGACTGGCCTTGATCTAAATGTGTAGCCAGGCTTATCTTGAACTTAATTCTCCAGTCTCAGCATCCTGAATGCTGAAATTAGGGCTGGGAGTCCACACACCACAAAAGAGTATATATTAATGAATACTGTGTATACATGATTTCAGGATGTAGTCCATCTGAACACATTATTTGTGAGATATTTTGCACTCTTTGTAGAAATCTGAAGTCTTCAATATCTAGTGTGCATTCTGATTTGATTTGACTGCCTTGAAAGATTGTTATTATATCTATTATTTTTTATTATGTGTGGGCTCTGTGTGCCACAGCACACTTGTGGAGGTCAGGCAGCATCGTGGAATTGGTTCTCTCCTTCCAACTTTATGTGAGTTCCAGGGATTGAACTCAGGTCTCTGTCTAGGCTTCTCCTGGAACTGCTGAGCCACCTTGTCATTCCCTTCATGCCCCCCACCCCCATAACCCAGGCTTCCCTGAAACTTACTATGCGTCCAGGGTGAGCCTGGCACAAGTGGCAATCCCTCTGCCTCAGCCTCCTGACAGTTGCTATTACAAGTGTGTGCCAGCATGCCTGGTGGCCTCTGTGGTGGCTGGAGAGGTGGGCCTTTGAGAAGGGATTAGGTCTTAAGAGATAGAATTGTTTCACTTGGGTGAGTGCTCTCTCTCAGAGACTGGAGGAGCTCTCCCCAGAGCTGGTTGTTATAGTCCCCCCCCCCCCCCCCCCCCCCGGGCTTGCCCCTTCTGCACTCACCTGCAGATTTACCACCCCTGAACTGAAGCTAGCAAATGGACTTGGATGTTCCAGTCTCCAGAGCCTCTACTCTCTGTATCCTAAGATGGCTTCTAGCTCACAGCTGAGGACGACCTCAGATGTCCCGCGGCGCCGAGTGCTGGGTGAGGTGTACACCTCCATACCCAGTTTACGCAATGCTGGAGACGAAGATCAGTGCCTTGTGCACAGTGGACAAGCACCCTGAGCTGTTCCCCTAGCCCAAGAACCTCTAATCCTTTCAGCTAGCCTGTCTCAGGTATTCTGTTATATTCTGTTATATTCTGAAAACAGACCCAGGGGCTGGGAAGAGAGCTCAGTTGATGAGGTGCTTGCCCCTCAAGACTGAGGGCCTGTGTCTGAACCCCAACACTCGAGCTAGAAAACCAGATGTGATGCCCTTGGAATCCCTGTGCCAGGGAGGTGGAGACAAGTGGCCCCCTGGAGCTTGCCAACCATCCAGCATCTAATCAGGTAGGCTCTAGGTCCCAGAGAGAGACCCCTGACTCCAAAACAAGGTGGGAGGCTCTGGAGGAAGGACTGACCCTCTGGCCTCCACATGAACACGTGTGTGTATACTACCTTCCACGAATATACATCCATCCCTCCCCCCAAAAGGTCGGGAAGGCACAGTGGGTGTTTCTTAGTTCTACTAACGTTTTCTTCTTCTTTTTTAAATTTTGGATATCTGGAGATGCTAGAAAAAGAAGTTTGGGTTCTTTTTATCTTATTATAATCTTTAAATTACATTTGTGTGTGTGTGGGGGTGTGCCATGGCATTCACGTTGGGGGGTGTCTCAGAACAGTGTGAGGATGTTCTCTTCTTCCACCACGTGAGTTACAGAGATTAAACTGGGATTATCAGGCTTGGCAGCAGCGCCTTTACCCACTGGACCATCTTGGTGGCACCTGCTTTGGAGTCCCAGCTGTCTAATAGAGAAGACAGATGAAGCTTCATTTCTTTGGTGATTTTTCAGTTTTATGGTCTGTATGGAGATGATAAAACCTATCTTTCTTTTGATATACAATTTTTAATTCGTTACACAGCAGGATGTATCCTGAAACTTAGTTCTTGGGGTTTTTCGTTGTTTGTTTTGTTTTTGAGACAAGGTCTTTCTCTGTAGACCGGGCTGGCCTTGGGCTTTCGGAGATCTGCTTTGCATCTGTCTCCCCAATGTTGGGATGAGGGTCTTGCACCACCGTGCTCTGAGGGCACACTTGTTCTCACTGTGACCAATAAGCCCTTCTCCCCAGACTGAGTCAGCTTTGGGTCCTCTCACACCGGGCACAGGGGCATCTTTGGAGATGTCTACAGAAGTCTGTATCATGTGGCCATGGCTAAGGCTCCTTCTGCAGCAATGTTGTCTCAGTTCAGTCAAGGCCATGGGAGGCTGCAGGTTTCTGTTTTGCCTGGTGGTCGTTAGATAACATGAACCAGCGATGGGCTGTGGCATCTTACTCACACTTTGAACTGGTTTGCCCTCTTTTTTAAGCTCCAAGCTTGCTGGGTTCCAGACTCACATGTGCATGCACGCATGTTTGTTAAGCAAAGGAAGGGCAATGCAGCTAGCCTTTGGGAATCCACCCGTAGCCAAGCTTGCACCGAAGCAGGGCCTTGAGCAATCAGCCCCCTTTCTTCTGAGTTTGATCCACAGGACTCACATGATGGGAGAAGAGAATTGACTCTCTGACCTCCCCACAGCATAGTGCTACATGTACCCCTCAGCCCCCACCTCACACAGATAACTGTAATAAAAAAAACCCAACTAACCAACAAGTCAGCTTGACCTGCTGCTTTCCTTGTTTGTAGTAATTTCTTGCAGATTCAGGAGGCTGAGGGAGGAGAATTGTTAGTTTAAGGTAGCCTGGGATCAATTGTGAGTCCCTCTGTCAAAACGAAGCAGGAACAACATCAACAAAGAAAAACCAAACCAAAACACAAACAGCCCAGCTTATTTCCAAGCCCATTTAATAGCTGCCTGAAAGCCCATATCATGGTCGCATGATGGTTCCTTTCATTCTCTTGCACATGTGGGTTTTGGAACATTCCACTCCTGAAATGGCACTTGGGACACATCTGTGCTACTGTGTTCCGGGGACGGTTCATCTGTGGCCTGTATTTACCCATTGTCGGCTCTGGGCACGGGCAGGCAGGTCCTGTGGTTCCCAAATTCCAGGTCATATAACAAGCTACCCAGTGTGCAGTGACCGGGTCAAATGGCTCCACAGCGGAGTTCTTGCAAAGGACTTGGATTTCCTCCTGAGGTCACACAGAGACAAAGATAGGATTCCAGTTTGTCCCACAGAGGGGTCCATGGGAAGGCTTGGAGCTGGTGCTTAACTCCGTCCTCACTGAGTTTTTCTGCCTGTCAGTGGGACTACTAGATGAGGTTGGTAGCGTCTTTGTGGCCCTGCTCAGGACTCCTAAGATGTGGGCAGGGTGGGGGCATGCGGATTACTGGGTGGAGCACTTGCCTAGCATGCATGAAGCCTTGGGTTCCATCCGCAGCCCTGCATACACTGAATTTTATTGCTCATGCCTGCAATCCCAGCACTTGAGAGGTGGAGGCAGGTGAATCAGAAGTTCAATGCCATTGTTGGCTACTATATATTGAGTTTGAGGCCTGCGTGGATTACATCAGACTCTGTCTCAACCAACTAACCAACCAACCAACCAAACAAACAAACAAACTGAAAAGACTCATATTCCAGTCAGAATTGTGGTGTTGTGAAAAGCTGTAAGTTCTAGAAGTAGTTTCCGGCTGGAAGATGATAGGTGTGATATCTGTGGTGTTTGAGATGAAGACAGGTGTTACCAGGTATTGGTTGTTATACTTTTTTGTGTGTGTTTTTAGAGAACTGGTCACTGGATCTAGGGGCCTTGTACCTGCTGAGCAAGCATTCTATATATCGTCAGCCTCTTTTATTTTCATTTCATTTTGTGGTGCTGGGGACATACCATAGCATTGTTTATGGCCAGAGGTGCTCTACCCCACGGCCACATGCTTACCTTTCTGGTGTGTGCATTCCTGGGGCTAGGGGAGGGGTGTCGGTGGACAGGTGCACGTGTGCACATCCCAAGTGTAAAGGTCAGGGGACAACCTCTGGTGTTGGTCCTCAGGTGAGACAGGGTCTGAGGTTTTGCCAGGCTAGTCTGGTCCTCAAACTTCCGGGGATCCAGTGATCTCTGCATCTCATCTCATTGTCCCCACTCCTGACTTTTCATGTGGGGTCTGGGGATCTGAACTCAGGTCCTCACACTTGTAAGGCAAGCACTTTACCCACTGAGCCCTCCCTCCAGCTCTTTGTGACTTGAGTCTTGAGGCAGGGTCTGCCTAAGTTGGCCA